TAATTTCGTGCAATTTGGTTTCAATTAGAACATAAGGTTGACGGAAACCCGGGGACTGCGCCTACCTGATGAGCCCCAAGAAGGGCGAAACCGGTCGTGGGCTGTCGATGGATTTTCAGCAACCTTATGAGTAGCACATTACAAAGATATACGTTTCATCAAGTTTCTTCACTTGTATACTAATCTGACACCCCGCTAGACATATTCCCTTCCTAATAAAGGCAAAAAGTGTCCGGTGTTTCTTGTTGAAGAGATGATCGCAAGTCTGTTGACAACAATCAGCTGTTATGCGATTCGGTGGTCTCAGGGACTGTGGAACAACATAAACATCCTGTTGGACAGATAAACACGGACCATACTATTTCAAGCGGTATGTTCCGATAAACCACCTGTGTTAAGCTTGAGTCACATGCGCATTCAAGCGTACGTCAAAACTTCCAATTGTACGGCGGCAAACGCGTGCTTCAGCATTTGATCACCAGTTTGAATTTGTTTTGAACTCTGAGAGCCCTTGTAAACCTGCTCAATTTTTTTCACACAGCAACTGGCTGGCTGTCTATGGTGAATGTAGGCTTTTTTGCAGGTTAAAAGAATAATTCTTTGATTTGGTTTTCAGGTCCTACTCGATCTCGGTCAGTCTCCCAACACCAAGGATCAATATAATCTAACTCCTTTGTATTACGCTGTTTTGAACGACACCAGAGCCGTTTGTGTGGAACGACTACTCTATGACCACTCCACACTGGGAACGGCGGACGAAGCTGGACTACAAGAAATACACCAGGTTAGTTGAATTGACACACTGTACAACCGAAACGACACCAAACCAAATCGTTACTGAATTTCCTTTTTCTCTAATCTTTGGTTAGACTACCCAGAGCGTAGAAAGAGTCTATCGCATCCACAACCTACCGAGGTATTCGGATAATTTTCGTACGTCAATTTGAATTTAAATTCTAACGCTCGTGATGTAAGTGGATTGAAGCTAGACCTTTTATCGTTCACTAACAGCTCATAGAAAGTGTTAACTGAGCGAGCGAAATGTTGGCTGACCAACGCGGGGTCGAAATGAATAAATTTGACTGGAGACAGCGTGCGCAGTAGCTGAAAGGGGACACCGAGTGGGTGAGGGTCTTCCCGTAGCTCACTCGCAGTGTTTACCCTTAGGTTGCGTTGTGTTAGTTTGGAGTCCTGTGGAAAGTTGACCAAATCCGCATCACTCTTACATAAAAAGCGTGTCAGATTATGGTATGGCAATACCTGAAGTGACAGGTTGATTTTAGTTTTATCTTATCCGCTGACGCTGCTACCCTGTGCGAGTAAAACTATACTAGTATAACTGTAATAATGGTGATACAATGCACGACTGTGGAAAGTGAATTATTCAAGCAATCGATCAGAGAACGCATTATCCAAGTAGACCTGATAAAACCAGTGGACATTCTACTTGATCGATTAGGCTGATGTTAACTTGTATAGCGAGCATTTTGACATTTTCATGAGTTGCTATGGCATATAACCGGATAAACAATGGAAAATGCTTCCTCTGGTTCAGTGACCGAACTGATAACAGTTTTCTTTCGGCCAGTCGTTCTAATCCTGCGCTAGTGCGTACCAAATAATAACACCTGTCGGCAGTGATTCGGCTCTCCGACGCTCCAGTCAGTGATATCCTCTCAACCGTCCAGTCTGCCATCAGGTTCATACACAATTTAACTTTTCTGGGTAATCCTCCATGTGGATGAGTTGGCCCACCTAAATGAGTAGTTGATCCTGCTATGTCCCCCGTTAGTTCTCTCGTGCTGTCGTCACCCACTGGGCTAATGGAAGGAAGAGATGTGTCTTTTCTGACGTACCGCATGTGGCTATCCAAGAGATTTTAGCATCATGCGGGGTCAACATGAATGTTTTCAAAATGACCACGCAAACTTTGTGTAAAAACGTTCGCGTTTATTGTCGGCTTTGTTTGGGTATTAATCGCCCTGTGGGAGGCGTGTCGAGAAAGCAATGAAGACGTAGCGCCTGACAATATCTGTTGTGCTACCTATTACAAGAAGCTTAAACGGATCTAAATGTCATTTTTCCACATTATACAACGCCTAATTAAGGAGTTGCTTGCTTGATTATATACAGACTATGTCCGAGACCGCAATCGTATGCCCGAATCAGAGATGCCCCACACAACAGTCCTACCTGTCTTTAGCGGGACTTCTCTCCTTCATAGCAATCAACAAGGATAAGGATGCTTTATTGGGCGAGAAGTTTGCAGAAACAGTGGACAGTCGGTTGTAAACTATCATAACTTTTTTCCTCTGCTTGTCGTTAGGTTTCCAAACTCACGGTTTTCACAGTTGTTACTCTTTTTCCAGTGATTTGGACGAGCTCCTGATAGTTATATTAATTCCTGTAAGGCACATACTTGTTCCGTGCTCGTATCGAGAAAAAAGCGTTTGAGGAATTTGCTTATTCTCTGGATAGAATCACAACCATTTCCCTCCGTGAGACCTCCTTCGCCCTAGAAAACATTAATCGCTTAAAGCGCTTCACAAACTGATCAAAGGTGATGCTTCTGCAGAGTACGTTTCCGAAAAACATAGCCTTACTATTACGAAGATGTTTTAATTGCAAAGTGCCCTCCACACCCGTTAAGTGTCCTCCCTTCGTTGAAGCGCTCTCCTTTGGAGACACATGCTTCGAGTAGAAGCCAACCAAAGTAAGATAAACTGCAATGAGGAGTTTTCATAATAGAAACTACTCATAAGGTTGCTGAAAACTATCCAACAGCCCACGACCGGTTTTGCCGTTTTTGGGGCTCATCAGGTAGGCGCAGTCCCGAGTTTCCGTCAACCTTATGTTCTACTTGGGGAGTTGTTTCGCTCGTTTATCAGAAGTGGAACCCGGCAGTGTCATGGTGTAGGTTAACTGGCGGGATAGAGCTCAGGTGCCTTTGTTGTTAGTGGCTTCGATGAATGATTATGACAACACTTGGGTTCGAAAATACATTCAGGGAACAAACAAATATCAAATGCGAGATGCCTGTAATGTGACCTTGCTGCTCTCGTTATAATTCTATGACTTCCGCGTAGCTTGTACCGTCGTCGGTCAAACAGGCTAATCAGCCGGAGTTCTGAGTAGCCGGGACCTATTCATAATCCAAAGTTTACATTTCTTAGAACTGGACACATCCTATTTTGCAGTGTACGTCTACAGACGGTGTGCTGTATGTTTAAGCAAAGTCGCGGCTGTCAGTGCAATCATATATATTGCCGACCGAGACGGCATTTCAAAGCTGTTTGGACAAAAGAGACGTCCGGTGGTGTTACATTTCAACGTTCGATCACAGAAAACAGCTGTTTTGTTTTGTTTGCCGTAGTTTGGATTTGGAAATGCTCATTGGGCCAAAATTTAACAATGTTCAGTTGGGATTCCGATTTTTGTCCTGAAAGGTCGAGAACCACCGTACAACAGTTTCAACTTTATTGAGCATCGTTAACAGTGTGCATCTAGTGAAACCCCTTCCAGTGTCATATTCACAAGTGTCTGGTAAGTAGTCCGAGCACTTTACTGTCCGGCATAGATTGGCTTCACCAAAGGGATGAAATCCCAATTGGAACTTCCCAAATCTCACACTGACAACAATTTCTACGCATCTTAGAAGGAAGACGAATGCGCAGGACGAATCAGACTTCCATCTGAGAAAGCATCACTCAGAGAGTCAGTCAACACGTGGGAACACATGGTATGGATTCCGTGATTAAAAGGTGATTGGTGCTGTATCCTATCTAATGCAAGCTGCTGGTCAGTCGCTCACGGCCGAACGGTTAAATTTTCAACCAAGTTAAGCGCAACCACCAACCGACCGCTACGCACCACTACGCTCTCCAATAACACACTGATGATGTCACTTCGATTGGTGATGAAACGTTTGCAATCGAACTGTCCAGCTCAGCGAACAAGCCAACGACCATCTGAGCTACCTGAGCCACCAACACTCTCCTCTACAGAAAAGTTTCTAAACTCCTATCCGAGAGATGACGGGTCCAAAATACCCCGGGCTGCGCAGAGCTACCGTTTCCTAACTAGTGTCATTAGGAGAACCAGCTCCGAACGTAACGTGACCACATAACTGCCAATGGAACAACCGTTTTTCGTTGAGACAGATTTCATTGGTTGTTCCTCACATACCCTTGACAGATGAGTTGTATTCTAAGTACCACTCCTGACCGCTTGTACGCGACAGTGATCAATCGAGCAGTTGGCTCGCACGTTCATTGACGTTTCTGGTTTGACCGGGCGCACCATGCGATCAAGTGGCTATGCAGACCGGGGTTCACGGTAATAAGAAGACATTAAGGTACTGCAGTCCACATCAAGTGTGATACACCTCTACGGTGTCTCAGTTTTATAGCATAGACTGGCTTGACTTTTATGGCAAAATTGCAAATCAACTTCCTCAAATCTTGTCAAATTAATAGCAATTCTGGAATTTGTTTTGTCACCGCAGGGGTGTGAAGTGGTCAAGATTCACGTCGCTGCGCGCCCTGACTGAACCATGTATGCGTAAGGCCAATGCCAGTGGTAACGCCACCGTGGCTTTAATCACACCTCGGACATTACCACTTAACAGAGGTAACCTTGGCCTTCGCACGGCCTGATTGTTATGAGTTGTGGGCATCTGATATTCATTCAGCTCGGATCGTTGAGGTTGCAGAGTATGACAACTTTGGTCTCGCAGTTCAAGTTAGCAAACATAAGCCACAACTGCACAAATCATGAATTCGTGTATGCAAATCGGAATGATTTTGCTTCTGTCACGCTCGGACTATTTTTCGTCCATGTGACAGCAACAGTGTGTGGATTACTAGAGTGTCTGAATGGCGCGCTTAGAGTTCAAGGTGAACGCAGTGTGACCCAACGAACGTGTGAGGACACTTGATGAAACGAGTGATATTCTAGACACGCTCACGCATGTGACCGCGAGTTGGTGATATCGTCTTATTCTAACTCATTTTCAGCTTAAGGTTTACGAGATTAACGGTGATCTTGGCATCGATTCAGGGTTCCATGAAACGATGTTTAAACTGGAGGTGCACAGACTACTCATAACATATGTAAAGAGGGCGACTGCCGTAGGTTCCTCAACTGCTAACGGCCCACAGACTGAAATTCAGCTTTGCGGTTCGGTCGGGAATAAAAGCTACCTACGGAAACTAAGCTTCCTAAAATTATCGCTTAAGCCGTCAATGAAATAGGTTAAGAGGATGATATACACGGACATGGCACACTTCATGCCGGATGCAATGAATGATCAATTCTGAGCTCGTCCTGTACGTGAAGCTAATCAATGCTGAAAAACCGGCGAGCTTCTCGAAGTTTCCGTAGGGATTTTCCTCCTTTTTCAACTGATTGAATACGGTTTGATTAGTCAAAATGTTTCATTCTATGGACATGATGTTTCGTAGTTGACCCAATTAGAATTTTTACTTAGTCCATTTTACGCGCCAGTCCATTTGGTACGGCTCTGAACAAAAGCCCGACAGTATCTATTGGAATTCCGTCTGGTCATTTTAACGAAAAGGAGCATCCGATCCTCCCAGAGTTACAAGGGCTAATCAGGATACTACAAGAGGCAGCTCTCGCATTATTGCAAATTGGAAGTGCAACTGAGAGTTGCTAAGTAGCACATCCTTGACCCAGTAATGGGATCCCGGTGATATATGGTTATCCTTTATGTAGCAATATTGCGTGATTGGAAGGTGAAACAAACGTACTTAGATTCCGGAA